TTCAATGGAATCCAACAACAATTACAACTTTATGTAGCTCGAACATCAACCAAAAATCATAATAGTTAAACGAAATAAAAAAATTTGGAGGCTCACCCACGGCGGACGGACGTAACGACAATGACAGACGACGAACCTGGGTAGGTTTTGATCGGAATTGACCGCGAAACACAATGTTGAGGAAGTGAAGCACGATGATGGTCGAGGCAACCGGAATCACCAAAATAATCGAGTGACGAGGTGGGGGTTTTTGGTGGTGATTCAAGCGTCTATTCACTCCGATCAACACCGGATCACGCTACAGTGAGGCTTGGGCTATGGTCGCCGATGGTCGACGAGTCAGCTGAGGGTGGCGATGTGCTCCAGTAGTGGTCAGACATTACTGATTTGATGAGTAACCGCGGTGGCTAGGGTTTGTTTAATTGGGGTCGGTTCACAAACACACGAAGGGAAAATGGGTTCTGGTTTTTATTTTTTGTATCAGATAGGTTATGGGAAAATTATGGACTAGTCCCTGAACTTTCCAAACTTTTAAAATTAGCCTAAAAAGTTTCTGAAACTTACAACTTAGTCCTTAGAATCAAATAATTTATTCAATAAATTTATATTGAAAATTGGGGGTGTGACACGATCGAATGTTCACCCCTAGTCATTGGTCGTCGCATCCGTCGACCGATGAAGTCCAAACTTTCCAGTCCACATCTTTTCGACCCCCTAAATGAGATTCCAGCCTCCGTTTTACTGGGAAATGCTTCATTCTCCCAAAACTGACGATGGACTCTTCGATTTCTTCATCCTCCGATCTCTATGGTCCACTGTCCGATGGGTCTGAAATTGGACTATGTTGGTCGACTCGTCATTCTCTTGTGGTCCACTGTTTAGATTGGTCGTCCGTCCACTGGAGCTATGCCACGTCAGCCTGTCCGTTAAGCTTTTAACAGCGGAGTACTAAAATGAAACAAAACCTAAACGTTAAGTATGGTTTTGAAAAAAAAAAAGTTTAGATACTAAAACGGATCAAAACTAATAGTTTACGTACTAAACACATAGTTTACTCAAAATTATATTAAAAATTTAAGAGTGTGAAACTATAAAATATCAAGCGGTGCAAAATTAGATAATAAAAATACAAGGGCACGAATCAAACGGGTTCAGTGGTAAAGGAATTGTTGTTATTCCTTGAGGTCTCGGATTCGAATACCAAGAATATCAGGGGTGTGAGCGTTTATTATCAAATGGTTGAGAGTTATCTTTGAAGAGATATTACCTTGTACTTACCCTAGATTAATAAAAATAAATAAAAATACAATGGTAAATTATATCATTCATCACTCAACTATCTTCTCACTTTTATTTTGCTCACTAAAGTTAAAAAATTTTCAATTTAACCACTCAACTTTAAACATTGATATTGAACCTTTTCTATCACTAGTTCCCTCTACAGTTTTGTCTGTAACTTTGTGGTGAGATGTATTTTTTTCTTATTAATTTTTAAACTACCACATAGACACTAATTAATATTTTATTAATATTGTTTTTTATATTTTTTTATTTCCTACCGCCGACTGTTTCACTGTCCACCCCCACTACCGCCCTCTATCTTCCCCGTTGAGGAGCTTGGTCACATTGAGACGCTTGAGAACCAAGAAATCTATAAGAGAAAGGCAAAGTAAAGGCATATTTTTATGCAATTCTTACAAGGCAAATTTTAAATTGCATACAGAACTGGAAAGCAGCAGCTTTTAGATGCCTCACTTCTGGTTGTTTGAAAAGCTGGAAATTTAGAAATGAAAATATAACAATTCAAGGCAGTGGGCAATATGCAAAGTGAGAGAATATATACAAACTGTTGTATGGAAGTTGAAAGAGATAATTTGCAGGGAGACCATGTCAACATCAACAAGGGAAGAACTGGATTCGTATCTCCCGAATACTCCTTTTATGATCATCGGGCTTCGATGAGTTAGCAATTACCAAACTTCAATGTTCAACAAGAATGAAATTTAAGTGGCATCGATGTTAAGATCTATGTAGGTTGGAGTGTTTTTCGATTTAACCGATATTGGATTCAAGTTAAGAATGATTAGATGTTTTTGGTGAAAAAATTTGAGAGTTATTAGTCTTCGACCATGGTGACCGGCGATGGTCAAAACAGGGATCAACTTGATGGTTGAAATATGAGTTTGTTCGAGTTGAGAAAGAAACGGAAAGGAAGAAGGAGAAAAAAAAAATATGTAAAAATGAAGAAAAAGTAGTTATTTATTTAGGTTAAAACGAATGGTGTAATCTATCTAAATACAAAAAAGATACAAAAAATATAAAAGAATTTCTAGAAGATGCGACTGCATCCTAACATCCCTCAGTCCATCCTTGAGTGTCAAGAAAACATATCTTACTACACCCATGGGTGGACTTTTGTGGGAGCTAAGAGGAGCCTTAGTCCCTGTCAATTTTTTTAAGTATCAATTAATATTGAAAAAAAAATATTTTTTAAAAATAAATAAAGAGAAAATTATCATTCACCTCTCAATTAAAAAAAATTGTATTTATAAAACAATAAAAAAATACTTTAATCCCGCTTTAATAAATTATGGTTCCTCCCCAACTACACCTACGTTGGATCGTGATAATTCATGAGCTTTTTTAATTATTATGGGTCCAAATTGTTGAAGGATAATGAAACCAATAAGGTTATAACTTTGAAGATTTTAAATGTCAAAGAAATGAAGTACAGTATAAATTTTATCAAAATATCAATAAAATGTGATGATCAAGTAATCATAACACGTTCCTGAAATTAGGGATAAAATCATGGTGTAGGAAATGAATATTCTATTGTTTGAAAGCTATTGTTTCATTATATTCTTTCATTGAGCACTAAGACATGCAAAATAATGAAATTAAATTAAATATTTCATAAAAATAGTAAAATTAGGGAATTGATCATTAATCACTAAACACGAACGAACGAAATATTTTATGTTAAGGGACGAACTTATAAAATTTTAGAGAGAAGCGGATTTATAAAATTTTAAAAGGCAGAAACATATTATCAACAAAAATACACACAAAAAAATAAAATATATGACAACTTAAAAATTTCAGGAGGAACAATTGTCCCCACCAATCCTCCTCGGTCCATCCTTATCAGTGAATAGCATGTTTATAATGTATTTGAATTTTGTTAAGCAAGTTGGTTGCAATCAAATGGTTGCAATCAAATAGAGGTTGAATACAATAAAACTTTTGTAAATATTTATAATTATGTTTATGCTAATGTGCATGTATCATGTGAGTTTGATGACCAAGAAGACTATGAGATAAGATATTAGAAATTTTTCTTTAATAGTTTGAAATGATTATATGGTATTTATTTAGAACTTTCTAAAAAATCTTAATCTGTCAACTATTTAATTTGAAATTTAAAAATAATAGGTAAAGATTTTATTTTACTTTATTTGCATTATCAACAATCCTCTACTAATACAAAGAAGTAAAGTTATGAAAGAAACAAAATGAGAAAAGAGCAACAACAAAATTAATCGTTTAAGTATTAGTATCTATTAGATTTATTCTAGTATATAATGAGATGAATGATTATTTTCTTAACAAGTTAACAACTCTTGAACTTGTTAATGTAGGTAATTATATCTCAAATCTATTTGAGTCTCATGGTCGTTCAACGGTTTAGCTAATATATCTTGGGATACTTATAAGTGCTATAAAAAGCTGACCCAATGTCTCTTATTGAAGGTGGCTACTCATTCACACTTACATAGGTAATTTTATCAAGTCCATCTCAATATAGACCACCCAAATCAGACTATGAAATCCTTATGGTGTTTAATAAGATTAAGTTCTCAAATTTAAATTTAGTAAAATCGTCAAGTCTATCTCAATAGGACTATCCAAATCAAGGGATATGAACTCATTAAGAGTAACAAACTCAACATTATATGCTAGTGAATCCATCTAGTCTGTCTCATAAAAACCACCCAAAATTTAAGATATGAATTCATTAATAATTACTTAAAAAAATCATTAATAACATTTATCGGCTTGTCTTACAAATATGAGGCCCTAGGACTTTTATTGTCCTAGGTTCAAGTCCCACCTTAGGTAAATTTACGTACGGACATTTTCTTCTTACTGCTTTGTGTTCTTATAATTCTTAGTTCAAGGTAGATGTTAGGCTCGATTTGTTTTACAATGATTTTGATAAAATTATCACTACAAAATGAAAATGTTAATAATTATAGTTATAAACAACAATAAAAAAAATTAACAGAATCATCATATTGCGATGATCCACTGTCTTAGAAGTGATTTTACCTATATTAATGTAATAAAAAATGGTCACTCAAGGTTAACACAATGCTTTTGTATTCATACACTTAAATGCGGAAATTGGACTCAAATAATATTACTCTTCCAAAAGAAGAAGTAAAAGAAGAAGAATGACAGAGAAAATTAAAAAAAGGTAGAGAGTAAAATATAAAAGCATATAATTGTTATCAGTTTAAAAACTAATTTAGAATGATAGTCATATTTTGAGATGAAATTAGAACATTTAAAAATTTAAAATTTAATTTAAAATAAGGATTATACTTTGATAACATATGATACAATTAACTCTTTTTTTTAATAAATATTATCAACATTTTTCTTTAAAAAATTATAAATAACAATACCAAAACTCTTCAACCCTTAATATAAAGACTATTGTATTGTGCTCAAGTCCACCTGAATATATTGCAAGGTATGGATGGAACTAAAGGCACCAATTAAAAAAAAATAAGAACACTAATTAAAAATTATTTAATTATCAATGGATGGCATTGAATATATTATTTTTGTGGCATTTCAAAAGTACAAAGTAACATTTCAAGAGTTTTCTATAAAATATCATCTATGTTAACCCATCCACTAAGTAGAAAGTAACATTTCAAGAGTTTTCTATAAAATATCATCTATGTTAACCCATCCACTAAGTAGAAAGTAACATTTCAAGAGTTTTCCACCATTAATTTGGCTCAATTAAACATTACAAATAGTACTGAACCCCAAACCACCAATTTCATCTTTATTGTTCCTTTATATCAATTTTGTTCTCATGACATACAATCCTCCACCTAAAAATACAAAATGTATTAAACCAACAAAGCCCAAGAAACTACAATCCAGGGTTTCATATAGATACACATCCAACATAGATAAATATTTCCAGGTAAACCTTATATGGGTTAGGATCCACTTACACAATGTAAAACTAACTCTATTAGTTTTACACAGTTTTAGGATCGTTGGATGAGTGAAAATAGATGACTAAGATTAACTTTTTTTCTTCTTCTACTGAATATCTTTTTATTTCCTATTGTTAATCTCAACCATCTATTTTACTCATCAAACGGTCCTAAACTTGTGTAAAATTAAATGATATTTACATTGTGAATATCTTATTACACTATAGTTTTACATAGATTTAGGACTGTTGGACGATCCAAAATAGACGGTTGAGATTAACTCTTTTTTTTTTCTCCAATGAATATCTTTTCATTTTCTTCTATAAATCTCAACATCTATTTGAACTCATCCAACTATCCTAAATCTGTGTAAAACTAAAAAGTTTTTCCACATGTAATTGGATCCTATATATATATATATGATAGCAGGTTAAGAATACTTTTAAAAAAATGAAGAATCATAGTAACATTAAAATACGATGAATATTACGGTTTCATAAAGATGCCAAATTCTGTCCCTTTGTTTCATCTTTGTTTCAAGAAAGGCATTGACATCTTTGTTTCATCTGTTTGGGCTTCGAAGGGTAGGCTTATTGTTGAAAGTGATTCAAAGACAGCAGTGGAATGGATTAAATATCAAAATTCTGTCCCTTTGTACCTATCTATTTTTGTGAAGGAGATAGTGTCTGCTGTTTCTCGAAATCAGATCGTTATCAGGTGGATCCCTAGGTGTTGTAACTGTGAGGCGGATAAGCTGGCTAAGGAGGGTATTGGCTGAGTGTTTCTAGTCTTTGGTATTTTAGTTGGAGTGTGTTTTCTATGTGGTGAGGTATTGTAGGAGTGTTTCTTGTCTTAAGTATTTTTGTAGGAGTGTGTTTTCTTCTGTATGTTATTTTTGTAAGTGTTTCATTTCTAATAAATTGATGTTCTCTTTTCCTCCTTTTTCTAGAGGGTTCTTGCCTTACGGCAATGGACTACTTAGAAGGAGGTTTTAAATGAGACATCCTATTCCTATCAAAAAAAATAAAGATGCCAAATTGTTTGGGTAACTTACAAGGAAAGGTCATTGCAGTCTTCACGTGTAATCATCTTGTCAAAGGGAATTTACTTGAACAGATTGGCTATTTCCTCCTTGTATTGAGTAACAACTCGGTCTCTTCGGATTTTCATAGTTGGGGTCATTAAGCCACTATCAATCTGCAACAAAGTCAGGTTTTTTACTTTAATATATCCAGAATTGCAGATCAAGCACAAATTGCCAGCATGTAAGTCTTACTGTAAAAGGTTCATCCACGACAAGGATCGGTCCAACTTGAAACGTACACTCCGAGGTCCTGCGTGAGAGAGAATCAAGTCAGGCAATCTTTCCACTTGGACCCCGATGGATTAGACAAGAGGGGCGAGTTGCGTTGGTAACAATGGAATCTATATCTCTGTGGACTGTGGGGGCTCTTCACAGATATTTAGCTATCTTATGCACCGCACTATGTTTGTCCTATGTCCGACATATTTGGACATATGTACGGGTAAGATCCTCTAAATATATGAAAAAACTTAGAAAAGATTGAACATGCCATGTTGGAGGCATAGTCCGATCGAACAGGACAAAAGAGAGGACGAAATAACATTAGAGGCTCTTAAATTCTGACTAAACTAATAAAGCTGAATTTGGAAGTGTTACCATTTGCTTAATTCTTCATATAGAAGGCTTGTCATTTTGTCCCTGCTAATATCAACTGCATCTGGATCTACAATAGATGATTTTTTTGCTGCTTGGAGTACCTCATCTTTGTTCGGGACAATGATAGCTCCGAGGCGTCGTTGATCCTGAATGGAAAATGTCAATCAACAATGAAAAGTTATAAATCGAGTCAAAATATGGAAATGCTACATGTACCTAAATAAAAAGAAAACTACATGCAAAACCACAAGCAAACTTTGGAGAAAGAAAGGTGTTCAACTTGCCTGGCCTATGACGACAATCTGTTGAATAAGACTACTCCTCATGGCAGCTTCTTCAATCTCTAAAGGTTCAACATTTTCACCTATTTTCTCCAAAAAAGATCGTTTTAGTTAATAAAGGGAAGTATGGTGAACAAGTGAGCTTTTAACGGAGTTCATAAAAGGAAAATGCTTCAATGTACAGTCACAACATTAGAGTTTAACTAGGTAAACTTCCTCTGGCAATGTTATTATCACAAGTTTTTATTGACTAGGAAGATAAAGAAAGCATGCTATCTTTCGGACCTACAATCGCACCCTAAGCAGTTATGGAAAGATAACTTTGTCAAAATTATAACTCGATAACTGTAGGCATATAGCAAAAAGATAAATGTGGTGTTGCACTAGAAAGTGAGAGTAGAGTTCCTACAGAAGAAACCATTCAGTACTCTTAACCCAACTTACCTAAAACTATATGCAGGAAGGACCTAAATGAAAGAATATGCATGGTCATACAGGGAAGTAGGTTTTAAGTATACCGGATGAAAGAACAATGGTGTCCTTGGCACGTCCTTCAAGAACTATCACACCTCCACATCGACGACTTCGCCCTGCCGAATGATGAGGAGCAATCCATCCTATATCACCGGTGTCTAACCAACCATCATCGTCTAGAGCTTGCTTAGTAGCCAATGGATTCTAATCAAAACAATAACCAAAATACAATCATCCGAGATGCCACTATAACTCAAACTGATCTACTATGACACTAATAAAAAATGATAGTTTGGTTTGGAATTCCTAGAACAAAAGAAATATTATATTCTCATATGTTCTAAATCTGTCAACCTGTCCAATGTAAGCACGTAACAAATAATGCTATTTTTTCTTTATGAAAATAATATCTGTGTTATATGAAAAGTAAAAATTATGCATGAATTTTTTTACTTATTCGGGATTTCATTTTCTACAAAAGAAAAAACAAGAAATACAATCCTAAAATTTACTCAACGTGAACATAGGGTTAACCACTCGTTCAATAATGGAGTTAGTCTTAGGTGCAAACTATTTAACTTGAGCAAAGTTCAAGAACCTTTGTGAATTTTTAAACTTAAGGCACCAAATCAAATATTTTATTAGAGTTCGCGTACTAAATGTGTAATTAACCACATAGTTATCTCTCCATCGTTCTAATCCCAAGTGGCCAATGACTAAATTTCTTGATTTTTCATTTCTTCTCTTCACAAAATATAAATAGAGCAGATAATAATACTAAATCAGGCTGCATGTTGTAAACGCTGCACAATTATGAACATTTGCCAACATTTTTCACAAGCATTGTGATTTCATTGGTCAGGTTCTTGACCAATTTCAGCTTAATATTACCTTATAGTAACCTTTCATCACTTGTGGCCCCCTGACCTTTACAATGCCTTTGGAGCCAGGCAGGAGCAGCTCACCGGTTTCGGAATCTACAACTTTGAATTCTGTGTGTTGAATCGGATGCCCGATCGAACCAAGAACCTTCAAAAGTCAAATCTGAAAGATTGTCATATGATAAAACTCTCTTTCTAGAGGTAGACACCATTTAGACATAAAGAACATGAATAGACAAGACAACAAGAAAACAACCTAAAAAACAGATAGTATAATGTAAGAGTCTATGGTTGAAATGATGTCCAACATAATACGCAAAAGGTACAGATATTTAGATAAACTAAATCCAAAACAGTTAAAATTTCAAAAGTTACATTTGAACGCAATAAGATATCTGTAACATGTAACAAGAAAAAGATAACGGCATCGATTAGTAAGTCTATGCAACTAGGAGATTTAGCAATTATATGTTTAACAAGGTTTTGCAAACCTTCAGATAATTGAGAAAGAGATGCTTAAGAGGTTGTTGCATCAGGAAATTCCCGGTATTCTTTCTATTTCAAGAATATCAATCAGATCTATTCTTTGTAGGGTGATATATAAAGATTTAGTCCCTTATCTTCATTAAGAGAATGTGCATGGGGTGAACCTGTCATCTATCTTTTGAACAATAATAAAGGATTCGAGTAAGTCTAGGGGTTCAAACCTTAGATCTTGTAAGAACTTCAGATCTGTGTTACTCAGATTGGGGTGTGAGTATCAGATGTGGACGTGTTCAACATGGGATGTTTGATTTTTTTTTCTAAATATTTCAATGTAATTGGAGGGTTATATCCTTTACTCATGTCTGAATATATTTTGGACACAGAGATTTTAAGAGAAATGAATAGTTGGAGCAACATATCTTCAGAATACCTAGTTCAAATCCACTGCCACAAAGGAAATAAAAGCCCAAACCAGTCAACAAAGAATTCAAACCCAAAGCACCGAAGTGGATCCTTCTGGTCATAAATTCTTAATTGGATGATTTAATTTTGAAATATCTCTCACACATTTTTTTCACAATGCTAGGGATTTAGTAAAGTCAGTTTCTAGTATGCAACTATTACTTCTCTTATGAGAATTTTGGTGTTTATGAAAAAGCTAGCGGCATCTTACATTCAAGTAAGGTCGTCGAGCAGCAACAACAGGGGATGATTCTGTTAAACCGTATCCATTCTGCACTGTCACACCGATTGCCTGCATGTATGTGACTCCACAAAATAAGTGAATGCCTACTAATCTTTTGATTCAAAGACCAAGAAATAAGCATCTAACCTCGAAAAACTTGTCGATATGCATAGGCAAACTGCCACCCCCGCTTATTCCAGCCTGGAGAATAATTAAAAAACGAACCAATAAAACCAAGTAACAAATATACTAGAAATGATGAACACGAAATATAAGGGGAATATAGCAATCAAGAACTTTGCACATAAGAACAATCAACTACATGGATTCTTATTTTTCAGTTACTTTTCCCCTCCTTTTTCCCTCATTATTTTTTTAATTACAACATATACAGATTCTTATTGGTTGATATGTAACTGAGAAGAAACTTCGATAACAAGTTTGTATAGCAAATAGATCAAACCTTTGATATTCCAATAGCAGAGTGAATCTTTTCATAAACAAGCTTCTTTGCTAACACGTGCAAGGGCCACAATATTGCAGCAATAATTCTTGCCCATAGGCAATCTAACATGGATACAAGATATGAAGGTTGCTTTGGATTTCCTGTTAAGTATAGTCCCTGTTGATCAAACAAAAGCAATTTATTATATGTTACAACCAGTACACAGACAACTAGATGATAGTTTTTATTTCAGTTAGTCAATTTGGTTGATTCCATAGGCTTCTAGACAAGTCACCATATGAGTAGGAAAACCTATTCAGTTAGTTCATTCCAAAGCTGGAGATCGAATTCTCGATCAATTAACCAGATAAACAGAACTGTGTTGAAAGGCAGTTTAGCTTAAACAATAATCTTATTAAAAGAAGGGGAGGTCAAGTTTTAGGTTTGGCCTTAGTTGAATATGGGTATCAGATTAAATTAGCTTCTTATTCCTACTTGTCTCAAGTTTTACAACTTTACAAAATAAAAAAGCAGACATTCAAGAGTGAGAGTATGTACTAGAAGAAGATAAAGCATAAAAGGAATCTGCAGAATTGAACTTTTGTTTAAAAATTGCAAAAAAAAAAAAAAAACCTTGGTAAGAGTGAACAAGAATTGTTCAATGTCATCACCTCATAAATTCTCTTCAACTTCATATAAGCCAAGCTGACCCTTAGGGATGAAAGTGCGATTAATTTACGAATAGTGGAGCTAGCAGAAATCTGCTTTTGAATCCCCCTGCAAGGTAATCAAAACAAAATTAGAGAGCTACATTTAGAATCAAACAACTTCCCTAACAATAAGTTGAATCGGAGACTCTGCATGGCTGTATAATTGAAATTTAAGCCTGATAGTTTAGACATGAAAATCAATCCAAAAAACAGGATGAGAGAGAAAGAGAGAGAGGAAAAAACTAATCACAATATTTATATATTGTTTGATTCAATGGAATTAGTTAGTATTTAATAAACTCTGAAATCCACATTCATAATGCAGCTGGACGTCCTATAATTAATAACCCTCAAAGAAAATGACAATCAAGAACCAATTCCTATGTGGTTTTTTACAGCTTCATGATGAACTAAAACATGTTTTATAAATTAGAAACTTATGTGTCCCAACAATCTTCAGAAGACAACAGAATATACCAAATCAACCAAACTAGTTAAAGAAGAATTATTACATTGTTAAACCGAGTGCTATAAAACTGACTCTCTATACATTGTATGTCAACAAAAGTTTTTAAAAACTAAGGAGCAATTACTTCTTGTAGTAATAGGTAATTGGTACAGAGAATTATTCACCTGTTCTCTGAATTTTCTTATTAAAATGATGTACGGGAAAGAGCCTACTAATATACCGATTACATAGAGTTCTATTAGAACTAAAACTTATCTTGTTAGTATTCTATCTACACTTTACTTAGATAAGACTTAGAGTACAAGTTAACTACTAACTATCACTTATATACAATAATTCAATTACTTAATTACTAACTTTACACGACTACAATCTACACTCTCCCTCAAGCTGGTGAGTATACATTGTAAAGTCCCAGCTTGGATGTGAACTCATCAAAGGTTGCTCTTTGGAAGGGCCTTGGTGAGAACATCCTGTGGGAACAAAGTTGATTTTTACAGAACCATTGTTAACCTTTTCAGAGATGAAATGTCTATTTGTCTCAACTTATATACTCTTTGTAAATCCGCCTATATAAGGTCTAACTAGTGTAATCGTTTTCAATCTAGAAAATACAAAAAAAAAAAAAAAAAATCAGATTCTTCTCTAAACCTTCTCTAAATTCAACAAAACATTATATGAAAGATTTCGAGTACAATATAATACTACTATGAAAGAGTTCACCTCATTCGTTTCAATTATAAGAAAATTTAAATTTGATTTTGTAACTATAAAGAAAGCATGAAGTTTCTTTCCACAAGATAATTATACCATGATATAGTTTATCATATCATTGTATATGTTACAAGATGGAAAACTAATTCAACACATGACATTATAGCAAATATGATTCAACACTCACATTTCGAGTTGTCTTTGTTTCTTTTATGTAAGAGTTTAAAAGAATCCAATTGCCCTCAATTTGCAGCAACAAATATAAATAATTTGTGATTATTTTCATAGAAAAGTATCCCAATAAACTTTTCTGGAGCTGGTTAATCGAGATTGAAGAAATCTGAAGGACATACCGATAGAGTGTCTCATAGACTAAAGGTACAGAAATCAGGTATTGTGGCTGATAATTTTTCAAATCATCCTACAAAGTAAAACCGAAGTATGTAATCAATATAAAAGTAAGTACTAATAAAAATAAAAAATAAATAAAAAAGCCATGCCCAGAATCATTATATAAGCCAAGCAGAAAATGGTAGTGATTAGTACAGCTGTTCTGTTATTTCCATTTAGTTGGGGTAAATTTAAAACCTATAATCATATACACAACTTAGAAGAATACCTTCAAATTTCTCACAGTTGTATATACTTGCTCAACTCCATGTGCAAATATGAAATACTCACAAGCTCGTTCATAAGCATGCCAAGAAGGAAGCATACTTAGAAATCTATCCCCAACTTTGGTGGGTACAACATCCCACAAATTTTCTATCTGGAAAATAGTTCAGACAGGAAATAATATTATATTATGGCAGATTAAAGCAGACAAGATGCTGGCTTTCAATGAAATACTTGAAGTTCTCTACTGAAAGATAAGCCAAGAAGGCACAAGATGAGACAACAATAGAAAAACTTTTCCCAGAAAACAATTTTCTAGATAGATTGATCTTTTGTTTTATTCACTTATTCATTCCTAACATATTGCATCTTTTTTTAGATGAGACAAGTAGCTTGGTACCGAATTAAAACTGTGTTCATATGGAACTTTCGGCCATTAAAATATGAGAAAGGTCCTAATATTAGCATATTAATTCAGATGAGACAAAAAATGGCTTACTAATGAATTAAAACTGTGTTCATGTGGATCTTTCCTCGATTAAAATACCAGAAAGGTTTGTAATCGGCGGTAAGCAGTTACCTGGTGTAATAAATTCTTGTGTGTAAGCATAACGCCTTTTGGATTACCAGTGGTTCCGCTTGTATACACAATGGTAGCGATATCTTCTGAGCCAATGATCTCACATTTGCAACCTTGTCCTGTATACACAATGGGACGGATAAGCTTATAAGATAGGCAATCCGGATCAATGATAGTGTCTTTTTCCTCAGTATGCACGCTCCTCGTTTCCCAGGTATGGATGTTATATCCACTCCCCTTTTGAAACATTGACTTACTAGTCAAAGGGTAATTTACATCCTAGATCGCTAAACTTAACTTCAACTTTCATTTAGATCACAAATCTTTAATTTAATCAAATTACATTATTCAACTTTTGTTATTAATAAATTAAGTCACTCATACTAACACTGTCAAATAATTTTAACAAAAAAAAAAAAACTTAAATTGACACTTTTACTTGACATGTTTTTTTGCATATCATCATTAAATAATGTTAAATTGACAATTTAATTAAATTTTGTTAGAATTTATAGAGAAGTCAGTTCTTTTTCCTAGAATTTATTTGAATGAAATGTTTGATAAATTTCTCACAAAAATCAATTAAACATTATTTGATTAAGATATGTGAAAAATATGTTAAGTAAAAGTGTTGATTTAAGTTTTTTATTGTTAGAATCATTTAAAAATGTTAGTATAAGTGACTTTATTAATAATAAAAGTTGAATGATGTAACTTGATTAAATTAAAGGTTTGCGGTCTAAATGTACGTTGAAGTTAAGTTCAGTGATCTAGAATGTAAATTACATGTGGTAAAACTATATCTTTCGAGCAACTTGTTGGACATGTAAGATTTAAGTAAAAAGTAATGAAGTCAATTTACACTTTAGGCAGACAACAGTAGAGCAACATGGAAGACTATAAAAATGCTTAATCAAATAATGAATTCAATGGTATCAAAGTGAAATACTAAAATATAGTATCAGAAGATTGAACATAGTTAATCGACTTACTAGCATCATGAGAATTAATATGAGCAGCACGGCTTTCCCTTCCTAACTCTATGATCTCTTTATAACTGAATATAGGCAGACCCTGTGCTTCATTACTAGCTAGGCATGATTTCTCCCCCCAAAGTAGAACAATAAATCTCAATGCTGCCTTGGAACAAAATTTTCCAGCAAGATGATTGAAAAAATCAGGATTATCGATAACAATCCCAACACTGCCCAAACACGAAATAATAATCACAATGAAAGCAGAATAGTACAGAAAATAAAACTGGCAAACTATTTCTAACTTCAAAAAATGAGAACCAAATCTGGTCAGAAGATGAGATTTGTGCGAGTTTGCTCGTTTCAGTATGAGTGTTATTCACATGTGAGCAATGATTATTAACTGCTAACCAGAATAATCCTTACTTCCCGAAAACATCTTTTATCATGATGATACGCAGATTAGATTGAATTATCAAATTAATGGTAGCAAATATTATTAATCATTTATTTAATAATGCTCGTTGAAGGGGTAACTCCTACAGGATGAAGGCTCTAGGAAACATCCATGCAAATGTAAATGAAAGAGCAAATTAATAGCCGAGTGCCAAATAAACATGCGGTAGCAAGTATACACAGGATGAAATTACAATGAAACCTACGGATGGATATATCCAATTTAGGCAAAACACATGATTTCAGGACATCATTTTTCTTAAATAACAAGAAAACTAGAGAAGTTAACTAGAAAATGAAAATTCAAGCTTTTCTTAAAGAGAAATTGAAGTATTTTGTAAAAGCACTTATTACACCTAACCTTTCCGAATGATTGTATATATGTAAAAGCTCTTCCACGGCTGATCTTGACCCCCTGACGACATTAATTGCTCCCATTGCCATTATACCTTGGTCAAGTAATGCAGCAAACTTATTTTCAAATTTCAGAAATTCAACTACTTATAAGAAAACAAGTGAAAGATAAAAGAGTTCCTGCATACGATACTTGTTAATAAAGAATAAAGAGAAATTATAGGCTTTTTATAACCCGAAGTTTTCTAGATTTCCAACTTTCTACTCATTTTCAGTCCACATTCTGTTGATTTACAGCTGTTTTTCTCTTTACCACATCACAAAAGTTTCAATCTGATGTCTACAGGAAAATCATTTATCCCCCACAAGGAAAAAATAAGGCCATAAACTAGATGCAGACCTTGATGATTATAACCTAAAGCATGCAAAACTCACAACAAAAGTTCCAATATATACAGGAAAATAACTCTCAAGTGAACTCAGATTTCAGTATAAGTATAACAGGTAAACAGAATTTGATGATCCTATAAGGTTCAAACATGAGACATCTAGTTCTAAAAATAGATCATGTAAATTCATCGAGGTCGATAGGTGGTTTGGGTATTCAATTGATTGGAAGTGGAATATCTAGACATGAAATAGAAAATATATATCCTGGTCTTACTGAAGAGAGAATGAATGTGAATACAGCTGCATGAGCTTTACAGATGTGCATATTATCGCTTCAATTCAAAATGCACGTTCAAGGCTTTTTGATTCAATAGCACATTAACCACATTTTATCGAATCTGTGTGCCAATTTGGTCTCATTTGTTAATATATAATATAATGTCTGCATCCTATATCAGTTCTACAGCAACCGATTTAAGTGCCTGTGACATAAAAGCAAATAAAGGAATCAATCAAAAGTAGAGTTCCTGCTTATCAAAATAGAAAATATTGAATCCCTTTAACAAGGTAACAAATGCATCTTAAACTATAAATGAAATTATTAGATTATATAATCTAACACAAAAAGACAACTAAGGAACCCTAATTTCTCAGCGATTGGACTTAAGCAGTTAATGGAAAATTACAAAAGATACGCACCTTGATCAGCAACAAGCCACCGGCATGAATTATCAGCAAAAAGTGCAACCTTTTCTTCTGGCTTTATGCCAATAACCCTTAAACCTTCAGAAAAGTCCAATATTTCCTGCTCCATCTGAAGTATAGAAGGTGTTGAAATCAAGGTAATAAAAAGGATATAATGACTAAAGATCTGGAAACAATAAATTGGAAACTAGAAAAGAAATACCATTTATGCACTAATAATACAATTTTAGATAATAAACTTAAAAACAAATAATGAAATAATGGGCTTCTCTTCATCTATTTAAATGTAAACTCTAATTAGTTGGCAATAACTTGAAATAGAATAATAGAAGTTACCTGTTTATAAGTCATGGTAGAAGGAGGATCATGATATGGATCCACCACTGCAACTCGATCGCCATACTTTTCTGCTGAAGACTTCCAAATGTCGGGGACCGCTTTCCATTCATCAGAGACCAGTGCACCATTACTTGGTAGTGATACGTTTTCTAGTAAAGGTGAGTACCTTCTGATTTGCACCTCCTGTGTCTATGACAAGTAATAACATGGATAGATGGTAAGACCCCAAGATAAACATCCTCTAGCTCCACTTGAACAAGTATGAAAGACTAAAATGTCCCCAATGATCATATATTTTACAAGCTTTAACAAAACCTATTTTGACACCCATTTAAAGTAAAAATCGCAATAAGACCAGCAAGTGCAGGGAACCAATAAGAGTATGGACCAGGATCTACATGAAATTTAAAATATCAAGGATTCAAGGAGCAAAGTTAAGCCAGATAAAAGAGGCAAGGAGAAGACCTATTGACAATGATGCACAAAAATAGCCACTCCAAATATAAGTGAATTTCAATGTAATGGCACGACTCACAGGGTATTGCAATAAAAATAAAATACAGGGTAAACCAACTATAGTGGAATGCAAGTAATGCCACTATGGAAACGGCAGCTTCAATGTAATGCCTACAAGGAAAGAAAAACTCTTCTTTCAACAGAAACAATGACTACAAGGCAAGCAAATCTTAACATAATATTTAGTAGTTAATTTTGGTAAAAAGCACTTGGAGGAGATTTTAAAAAGAATAAAATAAAAAAGAAATTTGTGGGAAACAAAACACATGATTTTACTATTCAATTATTATCCAATATATTGACAGTAGAGTTTTCGAATTCTGTACATAGTTTGTAGGAATACCTCGTATGCATACAGAAATTATGGTAGAAGTAGAGTTGAATTTAGTCATTTCCTCATTTTAATCAATTAGAATTTTTCTTTCAAATAGTAGTATTTGATTCACCTTTAATAAGCAACAATTTGTGAAGTGAAAGACACATAGCTGAAGGGAAACCGATAAAAGGCAGCCTTAATTACTGCCAAAAGCCAGTAGGGACCATATTGATTGCCTGACTCTCTTAACAATTAAGTGGGAACGGGGAAGACCTACTCTACTTTATTCACAATATTTAATTATTCACAATATTTAATTATTAGTATGTTTATTTATCTAATTTCAATATATTTTTATTTATCTTATAATTTAATCTACTTGAATTTATTATATTATGTTTAATTTTTATTTTATTGTGTAGAAAGTACAATAAAAAATATAAAAGATAGAATAAAAGAAAATAATGTAACAAAGAAAAAAGAAAAGAAAATAACAAAAGAAAGTAAAAAAAATAACAAAAGCCAAAAATAAAAAAAATAACAAAAAAATAATATATAGCGCAACTACAATGTTACTCCAGATTTAGAGTATCATTATAGCTTTTCTCTATTCTAGCGTTGGCGTTGAAAGTAGAGATGTGCTGGAGTTGAAATTCATCTTTAAAGTGGAGATTTTCTCTACGCTAGAGATGGTCTTACTACCTAAAATTACTCCAAATTTTCTACTGGACAAATAGATAAAGTACACAAATGGACACTAAAATAAGCAAGAATGATCTTTTTGACCACTGAAGTTTTGAAAGTTACAAAATGATCATTAAACTTATAAAATTTATCCTATTTGTTATTATTTTGTTGCAATTTAATAAATTCAATAATCATTTTGTAACACTCGAAACTTTAGTGACCAAAAATATTATATTTTTTTACTTAGTTTAATGACCATTTATGTACAACTCAAATTTCAAAGACTTTAGGCTAAATCTGAACTCAGAAGTATTAAGTCCGTTCAAACAGAATTGAAGAACAGAACTGACACAAACCTAAGAAAAAAGGCCAACTTGTAGGAGCTGAAGACATCCAAAACCTTATCTTTACACAATTCTATATCATTTGCTATGATCACATCAATAATTCAGTAAAATAATCAAAGAGATACAAAAAGGGTATTTGAGAATTACCTTGGATTCACAAAAAACTCGTGATTTAGATCCTGGGGAGACCCGGAACTTGACTCCAGGAAGCTTGGGGGCGAAAGTTATGGGGCAGGGCAATTTAGAAGAAGAGAAAAGTAAGTGAAGAGAGTAGTTATAGTTATCAAACGAAGACGTCGAGGCCAACAACGTTGCCATCCTCTTTTGACAAGAAGAACAACAGCAATACGAGGAAGATGAAGAAGAAGAAGAAGATGTTTTTATGGGATTTATGATTTGGACATTTAACAAACAAACGCTAAGAGTATGAGAGTGAGAGAGAAGGAAGAAAGGGCAAACAAGTAATGGGGCGGTTGTCAGGATTGAACGAATGGGATCTTGAAAAGGCCGAAGATTAAATCTTTAGCAAAAACAATAACGAAATTTTTTTTTATCGGAATTTCAGGATTGGGATAATCTGTTGTAAATACAAACAAATTAGAAGAGAGTTGCAGATGGATGGATAGAGAGAGTGGAGTTTTGTCATCTAATTTAAGCCTATGATGAGATTTTATACATATAAAGGGTAATTGGATAAAATTATAGAAGTGTAGATTTTATATTTTTATACACGTTAATTTTATGTATTCTTAATAAAAAAATAGTGCTTAATTTTTATTAATTATCGACTTTAGATCAATAAAGTATTTTTCATTTGAAATGTCAAATATTTTTATCTTTAGTTTTGGAGTTATTATGTCCTAACAGCTGTTACAAAATCTGTGATTCAATGCATGTTGTGTTTATATATTTTTTTTTAATTTTCTTTTAAATATATTTTTTAAATTACGTCAATATTCAAAGTGATTTTAGTCCATGACGTTTCAATTTTTGTCAAAATACTCTAATTTAAAAGAAAATCGTTAATTGATTAATGGTCAACACATGTTACTGATATGTCATTTTCATATATACTTAATTATTGACGTGTCATGTACCACGCCACTAAAGTACTGACGTAGTATGTGTCATGTGATGACATGATATGTATCGTACCGCTCATAGTGATGATATGTTATATATCACATCACTTAAAGTGATGACACGATATATATTATATTACTCAAAATGATGATATGATATGTGTTCTTTCAACAATTAAGAACATGTAAAAATGTTACATCATCAAAATATGTTGATAGTTAGACAACTATATGTTTTCTTCAATATAGTATTTTGACCAAAATCTAAAATAATAAAAACTAAAATATTCAAAAGTTAGGGATTAAATTAATCATTTATACAAACGTTAAAGAGTTATTTTATTATTATACCAAAAACCTTACACCTAATGTTGACTACAATATTTATCATTTTGGTTTATTCTAGAAGGTACCCCTTATATTTTACCAAAATTATCGCCTTCTATAAAAAATAAAAGTATTTTTTATATATCATAATTTATGTTATGATAAATTTTTTCTTTAAATAAATGAAATTAATTCGAAACAGAATTGAATTTGAATATTATCCTTATCAATATCATAGCAATTTTCCGGGCTTTTTTGAGTTTGGGCCATCAAGTTTTGACAGGCCATTGGGCCTTTGTTTTACTTTTGGTTTATATTAGGCCTTCGATTTGGGCAGGCCTAATAAACAAATTATTAAACTATATTATTTTTATTTATTCAGAAAATTAGAAAGAAAAAAAAATCCAACAAAAGTCAACGATTGTGGTGGGGGACATTGCCCTTTCCTGTTAAGGGAGCAAATTTTGACTTGATTTGAAAATTTGATTTTTTTGACTTAATTTGTCTTTAAAAATTTTGATTCGAAATGATTCTACTCGTAATTCTATAAGTTCGACTCAATTTTAAAAAAGTTTTAAATTCGAGTTGAGTGATAAAATAGATCTTGAATAACTCAAAATTTTTAGTAATTAGTAGAATATTTTTCAAGTTTGAGTCGATATATATATATCACATATGAAGAAATATGAAGAAAGATATATGTATATAGTATATAGTTATAGAAAATCGTTTAAATTAAGTAATCATATTTGGTCGGTTGGCCAAGCTATTCATTTTTATTCTCTTATATTCCCTTAAGTTATGGGTTTAGACCCACTAAGTTATTTAAAACATATGAATACAAATGTGGAGCTCCAACTCACATAGTTTAAAACAAAATAACCAATAAGTTTAAAACATATTCAAATTCGAATTAAGTCCACATGGATACATATGTCATATACGATAACTCAATATTGTATTCGAAATATGCGAATGCTGAAATATTTTAATGACAATGCTTCCTTAAACTACTATCCTAAAAATGATAAATAACCGAATAATAAACTACGAGAGTCCAATAACACAATTATTTTAAGCAATTCATATCATTCATAAATATAGACAAGTGAGCAAAAATATGTTTAATGCATTACATAACAATCTTATGCAATAGATTTAGTGCCCTCATTTATCATTCATAGCCAACTTACCGAATAGCAATTTCGAGGTTCCAAACCTTTCTTACACGGTAGGCATCTTATCTTGTTATTAATAGATCATGTGTGTACCCGTGCACTGTACCGTCACTCATAATTGTTGGAGAAACAATATTACATACACAGATTTAAATTGAAGTTGTGATCACGATTTTGTTATGTTGTATTTATCGTGATTATAGACATAATAAATATTATTGCAGTTAGTATTACGGTCATGTAATAATGGTTTCAGACGTCACCATTACCATTATATAAAGACCACTATTATAATGGACCGCTATCTAAATCCCTGATCACAAGTGTCTAAATTACTTCATGTTTGTCAATCATGACCATTAGGTAAGGTATCTTAATAGAACCAAATCGTAATAAATATAAAATTAATTATGATATAATCATGTCAAATTATTAAGAATAAAATACTAGATGAGGAAGCATATATGAATTAATTGATAGGTTGAAATCTTTGAATCTTTCTTTGGTTGTGATCTTTCAAGAAGATATTGTTTCTCTTAGTGTAAAAACTCTCTGATGGAATAAGAGTAAATACAAGTTAACATATTTCTTGGGGACCACTACCTCCTTATATAGAATGAATATTAGGTCAATTTATTAAGTATTTATAACCCTATCTCTCATCAAATTATAAATACAACTTATGATATCAAAACTTTAATACATATAACACATGTAACATAATTGATCACTTAATTTTATGTCATATTTTATGATAATATTGTACATTATATATATGTGCCCACAATCATGGATTTTAATCCAACAATCTCAAGTTATTGAAAACATTTTGATGTTTCGATATAACAAATTAAGTTAAATGAATTTTAAGATTTTACAAAAGATTTTCTAAAGTATATTCGATATATTTATTCGAATATCAAAATATTACTCTAAGTCTTTCAAAATTCAATTTCAATCCTTACTAAAGTGTAAAGTTGTGTTTTAACCTTAAAATGTTTTTGAAACAATTTCACAAAGTATTTCAAACCAAAAACGAGCCAAAATTTCAATTTTAAAAGAGATGCACCGATGCACTAGTCCATGCATCGATGCACTCTCAATTAAACTGAATTTCGAATGCATTTAGTGTACCGATGCACTCTCTATGCATCGATGCACTCTTGAACAAATAGAAACATCGAATGCATTCAATGCACCGATGCACAAGCTATGCATCGATGCACTCAGGCTATTTTAAAACACTGAATGTATTTTATGAATCAATGCACCCTCAATGTACCGATGCACTAAGTCTTCCAATGATCGAAATATTTGAATTTTACACATAGTGTACCGATGCACTAGCCCTATGCATCGATGCACCATACGCTCCCACCTGTTTTATTAATTGTTTTCACACTTAAACGGCTCTATTGACTCCACTAATCATCCCCAACGTTCAGAATCAATTGAAGGAGTATTTAAGAAAGCTTAGAAGTCATTGATCAATAAGAAGAAACAACAAGAAACAAGAATCAAGAGAGAAACAAAGAGAAAGCATCAAACCTCAAGTTTGAGCAATTTCAAGCCAAATTTCATTCAATATTCACTTTTGCTTTCAAGAACACTTACGGTGCTCAATTGTATTATTCTTGAGTGTTCTTTCTTTGTTCTAGAATTATGCAAACATCTTGCCTTGTGAGGATTTTCTTGTAAGTTTGCAAAATTTATATTGTTCTCTTTGGGAGAGAGTGTTCTTAAGAATTTGGGGTATAATTCTTGAGGGATTTGTAAGGTTACTCTTTGTCCTAAAAAAAAGACAAATTAGTGAATTTGTGGAAAATCCTTAGTGTGAATAGCTAAGGTAGTGGACATAGACTTTCGTTGAGAAAGTCAAACCACTCTAAATCGCAATGCAAATATTTTCAATTTTCTGCAAAAGCTTCCACCGAAATTTTTATTGCCAATTCACCCCCTCTTGGCCTATTCTGTCGATCGATTAACTCAAAAATTGATATCAGAGCTTGACTCATTTGAAGGTTTAATCACCTCTTGAGTAGATCCGGGAAGAGTTACATCTATAATCAAGTCATCAATGGCCTCCACTTCAAACTCTGACTTCGGTCTTGATTCATTGCATGTTAACAAGCCTCATTTCTTCAATGGAGCTAATTATGCTTATTGGAAGAATAGGATGATGTATTTTATTCAAGCAAGTGACATGGGAGCATGGAATATTATAGAAGACGGATACATCAAACCTTCCACTCATCTAAGATTGTGGAGTGAAGGAGAAACAAGGATGTTCCAGCTCAACTCCAAAGCCATCAATATTATCTTTTGTTCTCTTGGACTAGATGAATACTGGAGAGTTTCATCTTGTACAACCGCCAAGGAGATACGGGAAAAACTACAAGTCACTCATGAAGGCACCGACGAGGTAAAAGAATCTAAAATTAGTCTTCTAACTCATAGCTATGAAAATTTCAGGATGAAACTGGATGAAGACATCAAAGCTATGACGGATAGATTTTCCATGATTGTCAATGGTCTCAAATCATATGGAGAGATTATTTCAAATGAAAAGCTTGGGAGGAAGTTGGTTTACTCACTTCCAAAATCTTGGCAATCAAAGAAGACGGCAATCATCGAGGCTAAGAACTTAAAGTTCTTAACCTTTGAAGAACTAATCGGTTCACTCCTCACTCATGAAATGATGCTTCAAGATGAGATAGACCTCGATAAGATTGATGAGACACCAAAGGAGAAGGAGAAGAATGTTGGAGTTGCTGTCAAATCCAAAAAAGATGAGAGTGATTTGGATGAAGATGACGATGACGATGACG